CATTTACCCAACCTCTTTGTACCTCTCTATCTCTACTTCAAGTCTTAGATCATTTGCTGTAATGTCAATATTTTTTGGAAACAATTTTATCTAATCTTTTCAGTCTTTTGGCTAAGGTGGAGTGGAGTGTCTATCTTCCTGCCTCTGTTGGCCAAACAGTGTTTTATTCATTAACCAATAAGAGAAACATGTACAGAAGAACATCTTCCATCAAGTATCTCTCCTAAACTTTTAAATTATTTAACTGCTTTCACTTAACTCCAATCCTACTTTCTTCACACATTGTTTGGATGTAGGAATAGGTTAGAAAATACTTCAATCTTTCTTGATCCCATGAGTCTTTGCTATCTTCCTTGTCTCTTTACTGATACCAAGGTGTATGTCTGCACATCTATGCATGTTTGCCTATTCTCTTTATCTCCTTCTGCAATACTTTCTTTTTCTCCTGGTTCTATCTTTAAGCTCATGCTTACACCAGGAAACAGTCAATAATCTATCTAGATCTTCATTTATTTGTACCTGTTAATTATTTTACAAAGGTATGTGTTTGTTCTCATTTGTATACAAATCAAATTCTACTATATGCTTTGTGTCCTTTGTGCCTATCTTTTATGTAACAAAACAGCTAGGTAATCCTACCAAATCAATGAATACAAATACGCTTTACAATTTCAACAGATTCTCAGAAGTTTAGCTTATATAACATGTTATATAACTATTTCCTTTTGATAGCCAGATTTCTAAAACTATGAACAACTGCACAATGTTTCATAAAACCTCCTTGTAAATATCCTTGCATGAAAACTTCTCTTCTATGTGGCAAGCTCCTGTAATGAGATAGCTGAGTCAAAATTTATATGCAATTTTGATTTTGACACATATTGCTATATTGCTTTCAAAATCCTCTAAAACACAGAAATGTAAAAATTGCTCCTTTCTTAACATAAAATAATATATCTTAATGTTACTCTTTTTGGTTAAATAGTTACATGCATCCAATTCCATTAATTTTTTGGCAATATGTTGGAAATACAGCTTTGGCTTATAAATTAGCATATCCTGGCATTTATCCCAGGGTACTCAGAAGAACTGACAAGGAAATGGGGAAATGCTTTGAAGTTATCAGTATCTTTTAAACGTGTTGTAGAGAACATCCAGATAGGATTCCTCTAAACAATGTGTAAGAAGTATTTTATAATGTAAACTATTAATTTATATCTTAAGGTTGAACCAAAGAAAAGTAATTTTACACTTGTGTTACTTTTCCCATTTCCACAATACATCAATAACTCACACCCCCATCCTCAAGAATTTAAACAAGTTGCAATTTAATTGTGTCAGGCCTGGTCAGTATAAGCCTTGAGTAAGTTTTTTATCTGAGAACTGGAGAAATTAAAACTTTAAAATACATGAGCTTGGTAGTATCTTGCACATTCACAATATTTTAAAGGTCAAATAGTAGAAGTTAGGGGACTTTGAATCATAAATCATCTCAAGGGGCTGCTTTACTTGGCAATGCATTTAAATGGTTTTTATATGATGTTAATAAGAACAGAATCTACTGAAACACTTGTTTTAAACCTCATTGGTTCTGACATACATTTGACTTTGTAACATCTCTAATTTATATGCTGCACATTGTCAATGACATGGCGGGGTTAATTAGTGGTGTGTTTTCATTCACATTGGCGATTTTAAAGTCATATGTGAAAGTTGGATGTACTTAATTTACAAAGCTTAAGTTATTTGTATCAGCACATAAATTTGAAATCTGAAATCTGAAATACGGGTATGGAGTCAATTAAATAAATAATAATTTGAAAATAACTTTGCAAATTATCATCAATCAGTAACCATTATAGCCTACAGATAAGATTAGTACTGATTATCTGATATATAATATACTACATAATTTGTGCATACAAGTTTTTATCATATTTGAATAGTTGGTATACTCTTTTAAAAGATTACTTCACATAGAAATTTCCTCATGGCATAATTTTACTTAAATGTGCTAACATCAAACTAATTATACAACCCCATATGCTTATAGAACTTATGTAAACACAAAACAAAAAGAAGGCAAATGAAAATAAAACATGCAAAATATCCCAATTTACAATCTTAATTTAATACAACAGATGATGTTGTCTTGCTGAAATCCAACCAAATATTAAACTTGAATATGTTTATGGCTGTTTGTCAATACTGGTCTCTAAGTGCTTAAAGATTGTGGTTCCAAGTGTACTCTGAGGTGTCACCATAATTACATATCTCCATTTTAAATATACAGCACCTTTTATCAGCATGCTACCATATAATTTAGCCTTATCTTATGAATTTGTTGAATTATGAGTTTCTTCCTCATTGGCATAAAATAGTAAAATCAATAATATTTGGCATCAGTCTAATTCCAAACATAAATATAAATCAAGAGTACAAACATACGAAGCACTAAGTTACACATTATCTAATTATCTAATTATATTTTTCACCCAAAGTATTCTAAGAATCTATCACTGACATTCCTGACATATTCATTTTGTTTGTTTGTATTTCCAAGGATAACTAGCAAAAAATAAGATCCCAGTTAACAAAATTTAGATAAAGCTGAGTGACATAGAATCAGAAGTTAGTCTAACTGTGAGTCATTAACTGAGTTCTGTAAAGTTGTCTAAAGAGATTAAAAGTATATAGTGATTTCTATGACAGTACGTGTAGGTTGTAACATGTGGCATCAACTAGCAACAGGCAGACTGGATTCACTCAACTTGTAATGAATGAACAGTAATGGGTGAATCTAGGAAAGAAATCAGGACCAATGGATGGGCCACTGGTCTTCCCTTCACCTTAGATCTTGGCCTTGTATATTAAGGTAACAGCGTTTTCCTAAAGTCCTGTGTGGACCAGGTGTACATGAAGAGCAATGTTGAGGACAATGATGCTTGGATCTGAGTGAAGAAAACTGTGATGCCAGCAAGGAGGGGTGTATGTGAGTACAAGTGCAAGCACACAGAGTCTTTTGAGGATTTGTTGTCGTTTTCTTTTTTTGTTTGTTTGTTTGCTATTGAAGTGCAGTTTTAAAAGGGGAGAAACGGAAGTAAATTAGTATGAAATTAAATTACATATTTTAGACTAAGGGAAATTTTATATTTAAAATTTTAATTACTCGTTTTCAGTTAGAGTTGGCAATTGAGTACAAGGGATATATTACTCCACGAAATAATTTAAACAATTTGTGATTAATATATGTTGATCCTGCATATTTTTAGTAGGCAGTTAAACATATCTCAGGTATTGTGGTACAGCTCTATAAACAGCACATGTCAAAATAGTTACCCAAAATTCTCAGGATATCAGGTTGTTTTTAAGTAATAGATATAGACACCATTATTTTAAGCCATTGCTGCAAAACTGGTATCTGTTCTCTAGATGACAAAAGTCTTATATCCTTCATTAAGCATTTAAATAAAAAAAACTAAAATGATACCTATTTGTTAGTTGGTGTCAGAAGCCATGTTTTCTACAATAATATATCTTTCTTCTGAATATTAAGATTTTTGTAATGATGAAGTGCCTACTAGCAACAGTGATTACTAAGATTGGTAACTAGTTTCGTTTTATATAACAGTAATGGCTGTGACCATTAAATTTGTTCAAATTATAGGCATAGAAACTTGGTGATCAGATTTTGATAAGAGTTTATTTATGTAAAAGGGAACAATATGGACATATCTTATACATACATTTGACGTATCTTTATAACTGCTAGCATCCTTCATGAATTGGTAGTAAACCTCTGCTGTTTTCTATAATTTAAAACCAGGTTCCATGTAACCGAGGTCTCACTCTTTTATATAAAGGATGTAATTGGAAAAGGTGAAATATTTTGACAGGAAAATGATTTCTCTCAGGGATTGTTGAGGATTTTCACTGAAGTGTGTATGTCTGTGTGTAGACATACATTGAGAACTAATGTGAAACCTCCATTTCTTTTCACAGAAATCTTTAGATGCTTTTGTTGTCCAGGTAACTCCCTAACACTCAACAAATGATGCATGAAGTAGATTAATTTTGAGTTTCAGTCACTCAGCATTATCTGAATTTTTGTGAACAAACTGAAAAGTATTGACAGCATAACTATGTATTGTATATGATTATATATGTAAATGTGTGTGAATTATATGTACATGCACGTACATACATCTGTATTAGCATGCTATACATACATGCATACATATGAATATATAATGTACATGTATGTATTCCCTCTGAAACACAGTGTGACATTTGACACAGATACTGTCTGCTCTCCGTTTCATGGAACAATTAAGGTAACTTTTTCTCATTTTCTAATCTAGACTATGCTGCAAAGATCTGACAGTAACAGCAAAGTATTCTAAGTAAAAATTATTTGCATACAAGCCTAGCTTACATTATTTTGAGTTCTGCACTCACAAAAAAAATGCTTATGACCCTATCTTACCTGCTGTGTCTTCTTCTTCCTTAGGAGCATCCTGGCTCTGCTCTGAGGAACTGAATAATTTACCCTGTCTAATAACATTTCCTAAAACTTCAAAGGCACGATTATGACTCTGCAGTCCATCCCAAGTGAAGTTCCCAGAGAATGTCGACATGCTCAACTGGTAAATAAATACAATTCTGTCATAATGCAAGCAGGAGATTGTTTTAATTATTTTAAAATGGAGTATTTTTTCTAATGTAGTTGTGTTCAATCTGCGTTCTGCCTGTTTCTGGGTGACCTCCTCCACCACACAGCACAGAAGTTTTCTGAGTTTCCGCTTCTCTTTCTGCCAAGACTTCCAGACTCCCCCAAGTGGATGTCAGAGAAATTTAGTCTCTAAATAATAAACACTTCGTAATGAGCTTTAATCAATCTTCACCAAGTTTTTTCTAATTGAAGCGTCACACGTGGAAATTTTCTTTTAGATAAAGTTAGCACTCCCCTGTTAATACTATATAATTTATAATTTACTCACCTGACTACCACGTCTCTTATGAAGAATCACCCATTTTAATCATCTTTGAAAAAAGTGAAATCAGACTGTCAGATTCATTTAAGTAGCATATTATGGCTTATAGGGGTCATTGCTATATAAAATTCTATATATAGGAGACAGAAACTGGACCGTATTGCAATCTTGACCCTCTGATACACAAAATAAACACAGCTTATATCAGACTGCAGTTTACTCTGACATAGGGCATCAGAATGTCTGGAATCTGCTTTAACCAATTAAGCCTTTCAAGGCAAAAGGAAAATAAAGCCTTCAGTAAATCCATTGAAGGCACCATCTCCCTGCCTCCTATGCCTGGTATCGATCTTTTTAAGTGCCGACTAATGAGTCCTATGGTAGTAGCAGATCTATGGTGTGTGTATCTGATGCGGTGCCCTCACTCCACTGCCTCAGAGAAGCTAAACTTACACAGAGGATCACCTGGGAGGGGTTGGGGGAGAATCAGCCCTTGCTGATGGCTGCCTTGACCCTTTAAAATCCAGCCCCTATTTGTCTCAGTGGCTTAAGGCAGCAGACCCTATTCCCTACTTTCCATGACAAGCGCAATAGTTTGTGTGCAGATTTTCCTTTCAGGTCGCTTCTAGGGCAAAGCCTTATGCTTTTGTTCAGCACCTCTCTTGCTTGGGAGCTCCTGGCAGCAGCTTCTCTTGCCGCAAAGCATTCTTTTCCTCTCAGCTTTGGCAATTTAGGAAGAACTGATGCTCCCAGGGGAGGTGGATGAGGGGAGAGTGCCAGGAATGGGAACACATCCATCAGGAGTCCATGCGTCTCTGTCTCCCTTCTCTCCACTTGCACTCGCGTCGCCACAACTCCCCTCCCCCAAGCACATAGCACTTGTGATATGTGTAACGGGGCGGGGGGAGCGTGGGGGTGCGGGGCATTCACCCTCCATTCCAAAGATGCATCAAAGCGCAGACTCCCATAAGCCAAACCCAGCAGCACCTGGCACCTGCCCCGATTCGCTGCAATTGGAAGGGGACGGTTTGGGTACTAAATTATTAATTTATTTATTTCCCCCCTCCCCGCGTCCCCGCCTGCATCCCTACCCGCAGAGCAGAAGCCACGGTCGCGTTGCTGCCCCCCCACCTTCGCCCGCACCTCGCTGGAGTCTCGCACTTGTAACCTGCCATCGCCTCACAGCCCCTGGCGGTCGCGACGCGCTCCCACTCGTGGCCAGGCTGGCGCGGCCGTGGGTCCCGGCGGCGGGGGAGGCGGGGGGGAGGTGGCGGGTGACAGATGTACTCCTCTGACAGCTCTCAGTATCAGCCCAGTGGCTCCCTGCCATTGGCTCAGTGCGATGGACCGGCAACGCCGCGCACTATAATAACACTCATGCCTGCCAGCGGCAGCGACTGCAAGTGCGGGCGCCCGGCGCGGGGGATGCTGTGGCCGCTGCTTCTGCCGCGCGGGCGGCTCCCGTTGCCCGGCTGCGCCCTACAGCGCGGCATCTGACCGCTCCCGCCTGGTCCTGCCCGGCCCGGCCCCCTTCTCGGCCGCATCCTCCCGCGGGGCTCTACATCCCTGCTCCATTAGGCAGGCGAACACTGCTCTGGAGTCCGGATGAGAGCTGCCGGAATGCGGAGGCGACGGGGCGCGCACCGCAGCCGGGCATAAGGAACCCGCGTGCCCGCTGCCAGCGCACGGCCAGCCGCTCTCCTTGCCGAGATCCCCAGCCCACCCACCCGGCCCCGGCTGATGCTGCGGGCGCGGGTGCGTGGAAGCGGCGGCTGCGAAGGAGAGGCGGCGGCTGCCCCATGGAGTGTTACTACATTGTCATCAGCTCCACGCATCTCAGCAACGGACACTTTCGCAACATCAAGGGAGTTTTCCGGGGCCCTCTCAGCAAGAACGGGAACAAAACTCTGGTAATCTCTCTGTGTCCGTCTGTCTCTCTTTCTGTGTCTCTGTCCCTCATCTATCTCTCATCGTAATAGGGCATATCGGAAGACATGAGTTGACTGATGGGTTTGGGAGCTTTCTCGATTTTGTTTGATTTGCAAAGCATTCGTTTATTTCGTTTATTTATGTGATGGGCGTGGGATGAGAATCGGGTGTAGGAAAAGGAAGGAATGTTAGGAAAGCTTTGATTGAGGTTTTCTCCCTACACTTCATGAAGCTTTCTGTCCTCCACACTCCACACTGCTGAAGATTTATTAGTCTTTCCTTATTTCCACAGGACCTCCTAAAAATAGAAAGGAACTCCAACCCCAAATGATCCCCTGGCACCTTTTCATTTTAGGCAGTTGAAGGTGAAGATGGTGTGGGTGTCTGTACTGGAACAGGGACTCATTGTGACTGACGGCTTAGGGAAAGTGGCTGAATTGAGTGAGGATCTCTGAAAGAGCTCCTGTGTTGCTTCTTGGTTCTTGGTTGAAGGACTAGCAAACAGGAAACTTCTCTTCTGAGAAGTTGTCTGCACTAAGCTAAACAGAATGATTCCATACTGTCAACTTGTCACTCTGTAGAGTTTAGGGATATGGGTGGAAGGTGTCACAATTTCAGCCAGTAGGAACCACATTAGAAAACAAAACCCACACAGCTATTCTCACTGGATAGCACAGCTTGTCCTTCAGCTGCTTGATTGGTGGGAGATGTGCTGAGTACAGATACAGTACATGGGATAGCTCCTATGTTTCCACCCAAATTCTGCCATCCATAAAGCCTCCATTCAGAGCCAACTCTCACGAGCAAGTGTGTCTGGAGAAGTCCACACTTCTGCAAGGGAAGAGAGCAGGAGCTGAGCTCTCTGTCCCTTTAGTAGACACATTGAAGACTCAGCCGTTCAGATGGTAAAAGTGTATGACTTTCTGAAATCTGTGCTCACTAGCAGACTTCACTCAACTTCTCCCATCGCTTATCTGAAAGGATAGAGTAGTTCAAGGACACACTTAGTTCAAAAGCAAGTGTGGTTTTCTTAATATCATTCTTTATATGTTTAAAAGTGTGTCCATATAAACAACAAAAAAATTGCCTACGATGTGTTTTTCCAGGATGAAAAGTTCTCAATTGAAGTTTTTAGTGGATTCAGACACTGACAGGATCCATTGGATTCACCCTTCCCTTGAATATATATTGACTACCAGCTTTTAGGTGATTTACACACAAAAACACATGCTTACTTTGATATTGTTGTTGGGATGTGTTTATTTGCTGTTTTTGTTGCACAAAAGAACATATGCCGCAGACTTCTGTAGTTGAGCATTATGAAGCAGGCAATGTCTAGAAGACTTATTGAAAGTGTCTGGGCTCTGCTTAAAGAGAGTCTGGCAAAAATTTTAATGAGAAAAAACTATTTCTTCAACACATTTGGCTTAGTCATTAAACCAAGTTTAATTTGAGGTTCAGCAGAGGGAGAGGGATATTTCCAATGTGTAGATGCTAAAACACTGAAGAGTTCACAGTGAAATGAACAGTTATTTGAAAAACCTGAACTTATTGTAATGCAGTTCATTGTGCTTCTTCAGCCTCCTTGGGCTTTCCAATGACTCCAGTAGCTTGGGATGGCTTCTTTGCTGTGCATTTCAACTTAATGAGCTCCTCATCACTCATGTTGACAAAGGGCAGGTTAAATGTGAGTTTTGTCTGTGTAAATCTCATGATTAAAATGGGCACATTAAAAGCAGCTACCTAAATGAGATGAATAAATCAAAATACATGTAAGTGTCAGAAGCAACAAATAGGAAGATACCCTCTGAAAATAAAGTTTACAGTGTTTCTCATACCGATAATATAGGGGTAAATCTTGCAGGGGTGATGATGATAGTCCTTGCAGACTCTTATAAGCTGCCCTGTCTGTATTGGCTGTTTGTGAGCTTCATGCTAACTTAAATGCAGTGCATGCTCACATTAGTATTCAACTTTATTTAAAGCTTTTTTCTTATAGGAATATGTGCATATGTGTTATAAATGCTTTTAATGAGTTTTGCCATGAAGTATAATAGTATATTTGATGAGGGAATTACATTAATGAATCAAGACTAGTTCATACTTATATAATGATATATTCTCAACGGTTCCCAAAATTCTTTGATTCCTACTGTATGCTATATTTTGTCAGATAAAAACAGATAATCTGAGCTGATGTTTACAAAGCACCAAATTTAATATGAAGCATAAATACTAAAATAAAATGGACATATACTGTGTAATGAAAATTTTCAACTTAATGTTTATTCACATCAGGTTGTTTGTTTCAATTTTTAGCTTTTAGGTTGATAAGTTGTGTGTGTGTTAAATATATACAACATTTTAAATCAATATTCATAAAGTAACAATCAAAAATACTTTATACCCTTTTATGTTTAAATTCTGTGTATTGAAATTTGCCTCTAAGATAAAGGAATTTGAATGATGTCTATGTAAATGTCTGCTTATTTTTGTTTCCCAAGGGGATAAAACTTAAAGATACTCACAGGAAAACAATTCTGATTTTCCCCAATAAACTGAGTTATTTTCAATTACTAGATGATTGATGAGGTTTTGTTTTTAAATTTTTTTTATTTAGGTTAGAAACAATCTTGTTTCACATGTCAATACCAGCTCCCTCTGTCTCCCCACCTCCCCCACGCTCCACACCAGTTCCCCGGTCCCCCACCCAATCTCCACTCTGATCTCCAAGGATCAGATTAAATAAAAACAATTGTATAATTTTACAATAATTCTAAAGATTAAGTTACTCCATAGAATATTTAATATGGAGTGCTATCACAAATGAAAGCTACTTGCAACGTGTCTAGTTTATTCAGATTTCAATGTCATTCACTAACTGCTTCTGTCCTAAATACAAGAATGCATTTACAGAAAAGATTTAAATAACAACTATGGAAAGGAGACCAATCAAAAAATTAGCTTATTTATTACAAAATCTGATACTTCTATCGAAAATGGCAGCTGTCCTACAGAACTAAGACCTTGATGAGAAGTTGTGGTTGTCCATGGACCTATATATATATATTTGTAGTCCACTGTAATTCTAGTACTTGGTAGTCTTGAACTTATTCATGAACTTTACCAACTTAGAAAATTTAATAAACACAAAAACCTCTACTTTTGTCTTTTCTTAAAAACAAAGAGAATAAAGTGATTTGTTATTGTGTCTGTTACTATTGCATCATCATTTCTCAACATGGCTTAATTTCATAAAACTAGAAAATAATCTTTTATTAGTGACTCATATTACTGGGAATAAAACACAGAACTTCATGTTCTTAAATAAACTTTATGATCTATATAGTCTATTTTAAACCTTAGTTTACTTGAGCAACTACTTTTTTAAATAAAAATCCTGTATTAATTGATGCTTGCAATTAATCCACAGAAATTATTTGACCTACCTTTATATTTTAAATATTTCAATGTATAACTAAATATGTAATAAATATTTATATTGAATTTCAGTGCAAGGTACTGGTTTTGACTTAGGGACCTTAGATGCCATTGTTAGTTTGCTGTTACATTGTATCTGCTAGTTGCTTAGAATTTTAATGTCTTACTTAGTTTTTTTTTTGTTTTTTTTTATGAGACAGGGTTTCTCTGTATTGTTTTGGAGGCTGTTGGTCTAGCTCAGCCTCGAACTCACAGAGATCTGCCTGCCTCTGCCTCCCGAGTGCTGGGATTAAAGGTGTGCGCCACTACCGCCCGGCATAATGTCTTACTTAGTTTTAATATCACTGAATTAAAGAACCAAAGATGAATCAATGATGATGGGAGATCACATATCCAGTCTCTGTTATTTTGAAGATTTTATGGTATATTGTAAATCATGAAATTTAAAAAAGATCAGTATAATAATATGAGTCAGAGATATTATTGTGTCAAGTTTAGTTGAAACCATTTTACTTTTCTTCTTGTCTCCAAGTACAGATAAGTAATGCTAAATTTTTAAAAACTGAATTTAGATGTATTTTCCTTCTTATCTTCAAGTAGGCAAAGAGTCCTAATTTTTCATCAACATCTTAGTTCTATAGGGCAATTGGCATTGTCGATATAGGTAGTCCAAAGTTCAGCAAGAACTTAATTTAATGATTGGCCTTCAGCACAGTTGCTATTTAATTTCTTCAGCTTCATTGAGAAGCTTCAGCTGCATCATACTTCTGGAAACACCAATGGTCCTGTGGGTCACTAGGCAAATATAATTTCTGTTCAATGTGCCTGTTCATTTGGCATCAACTTTAAAATGTCATCCAAACTTTTGACATATT